CCCCGCCATTGAATGCCGAGGCGGTGTGCGGCGCGCTGTCGCGGCCGCCGCACAGGGCACCAGCCCAGGTGCCGCCGCCGTGTTTCCAGAGCGTGTAGGACATGGCAGCAAACGCCAGCGCGACGGCGCCTCCGTAGAACCCCGCGAGCGACGCCGCGCTCACGAGCGTGCGCGAAGGGTCCAAGCCCAGCGTGCGCAGGAACACTGAGGGGAGGGGGCGATGGCAGAAGGGGATGTCAGCAGTGCCCTTCGTATGGTCGCTTTTGGCGTTTGTTATTAATCCTGGCCTAGCCACCCTTGTTTTGATAAGCATCTTGCTTGACAACCCAGAATGCGATGTAGCTGGACAACCGAGGAATTGATGGGTAGTCCTGATCCTCCATGGGAAGACCCTCGAGCAGCAATGCAAAACGACTCACCGTCGCCCTTGATGCCGCCGATGGAGGGCAGGCCGTCCACGTGGATGCTGAAAAACTGATCCGCCATCTCGTTGGCGGCAAGCACCTCAAACGCGAACGAGAGGGGGCTGAGGCTCCGCACCCAGCGCAGCCAGCCGGGGATTGAGTTAGGGTTGACCAGGTAGCCGCCGATCAGGACCCACCTGGGGGTTGGCACGGGTTTGAGGAGCGGTAGGCAGGAGGCTTAGGGAGTGCCAGGCAGACATTCTTATATGTGCGGAGAGTGAGGCATCCAAATCAAAGGCCGGTCCACTGACATGCTCACAGACCCGGGGTGTTTTGGTGTGGGCATGGACGGCAACCACAAGGAAGAGCCAGATGCGCTGTGTGTGACCGTGCCCGTTTGAATCATCAAGACCTGCTGAGACAACCTACATAAGCAGGATGATGTTCATGGCCAGGGTGGTGGCGGACGAGGTACGGCACAGTGCGGTGAGCGCGGTGGTCAGGGCGCCCACGGTGCAGGTGTAGGTGGCCAGCACAAACATGAACGTCACCACGCGCGACACCTCGGGCAGAAGGCCAATCTGGGTAGAATAAGATTGTTGAGGATAAGTTAGCGCTTTGGCACGATGAAAGTTGTGTTTGTGCGTACACAAAGGTCAGGGCTGAACAATGGCATTGCTTGCAGCACAGCACGGCAAAGCACAGCACAGACAGCCACAGCATGGCAGACCGCAACACAACACAACACAACACAGCACAGCGCAGCGCAGCGCAGCGCAGCGAAGCACAGCACAGCACAGCACAGCACAGCACAACTAGCATGGCACAGAGGGTCGGATGCAACCACAACGATTCACGCACTTCTACAGCAAAACACAAACCACAGCCCTGCAACCGCGCGACGCCCGACAGCAGCCGCGGCATCCCTGAGCAGGCGCCGCACCATGGGGTAGACCAGGGCGCTGAAGAGCAGCGCCGGCAGGGTGCGCAGTAGCAGCCCGTCCAGCACCAGGCTGGACAGCAGGTAGGTGCTGCCGCTGTAGTAGTGCCCCGCCACCTCGCGCTCCACCAGCTCCCTCTCAAGCACCAGCCCGTCCACCACAGACACACTCGTCCACCCAAACAGCGCCAGGGCAAAGAACATGGCGCCCAGGCGGTTTTGCAGCCCAACGTTGCTGGTGTCAAGCTTGAAGAAGACGGCGCCCACGATCAAGCCCAGGATCAGCGCTACTAGCAGGTGCAGCATGAGCAGCCGCGGCTCGCGGCGCATGTTGGTGAACGCGCGCCAGTAGAGCACTGAGCACTCGCGCAGCAGGCCGCCAGCCCAGTTGGCAACGCCGCTGAATCGCCTGCTGTGCTCCGGAACAGGCGTCGCTGGGGGCGGCGCGTGGTGCTGCCCGCCATGCAGGTGCTGGTGGCTGTGCTGCGGCGGCAGCTGCAACATCAACTCCTGGCGCGCCCCCAACGCCTCCACAGCATCGCAGGAAAGCGCCGCCGCGGCCGGCCCAGCCGAGCGTGTCTCCACGATGGCAGCCGACGCGATCTGCCACTCGTCGTCGGCGCTCGTGCTCGACGAGGCGCCGCCCTCGCACTTGGAGCTCATCAGCACCTGCAGCGCCTTGGTGCGCGGGCTGCCGCAGCCCTTCGCCAATGAGCCCTTGGCAGAAAAGGAAGGGATCCTGAGCTCCGAGAGTTTCGTCTTGGCAGAGGTATAGGACAGGTTGACATGCGCAGGGCCTGCGACGCGGCGCAGGAGTGCAGCCAGGCCGGCCGGCTGCGACGCCACGTGCAGCATGTGCTCTGCCGGCTGGCGGCCGGGCGGGCAGGGGTAGCCGGCCGCCGCGAACGACGGGCCCACGCCGGCAGGGGTGCCCAGGTAGGCCAGGCGGCCCTTGGCCAGCAGCAGCACCTGGGACAGGGAGTCAAACATGTCGGGCGACGGCTGGTGCAGGCTCATGATCACCACGCGGCCGTGCTTAGCGATGTCCTGGGCGGTGCGCATGAGGTTGTACGCGGTGTAGGAGTCAAGGCCGCTGGTGGGTTCGTCCATGATGACGAGGCGCGGGCGCGTCACGAGGGCCATGGCGATGGTGACGCGGCGGCGCTCGCCGCCGCTGACGCCGCGGATGGAGGCGCTGCCGCCGACGAGGCTGGTGGCCACGTGGGAAAGGCCGAGCTCCGCCAGCACGCCATCGATGCGCTCCTGTGTGGGGAATCATGGTCATGTGAGGTGTGGTGATGTCACTTGTGTGAGGCATATGGCAACCGTTGCATCATCAACACATCCTACGTCTTACACAGCAGGCCCTCCCACAGGGCACAGGCTGCCTCCCTTAGCTTAAGCAGTTGAGAAGCATCCAAGCCATGCCGATTGATTTGCTCATAGCCTGCAAACTGCACTTGGACACACGCAGCCTGCAAGGTCCTGTGCTCGCACCTGGATCTCCTCCGCCCCAAGGCTCCTGGGCAGCCGCAGCAGCGCGCTGTAGCGCACACACTCCTCCACTGTCAGCGCAGGCAGCAGCACATCCTTCTGCGGCACAAAAGCCGTCACCTTGCGCAGCACGCTGCGCCGCGCCTCGCCGCCCAGCGTGACGGAGCCGTCGACGCGCGCGCCGGCGCCCACAGACTCTGTGGCGCCAGAGAGGATGGACAGCAGCGTGCTCTTGCCTGCGCCAGACGGCCCCATCACGCCGACAACCTCACCCTGAGAAACAGCGCCGCTGACACCGTGTAGCAGCAGCTTCTGCTGGCGCCGGCCGCCCTCCGCCACGCCGTCGAGGCCGCCGAGGGGCGAGCTTGGCCGCTCGAGGGACGTCTGCAGGTCCCCCACTTCTGAGAGCCCGCTGAAAGACTTGCCAGCGGCGGCGGCCGCGGCGGGCGCGTCGGTGGCACCCCTGTCGGGCACGGCGCAGTAGATGCCCGTGAATTCAAACCTCACAGGGTGTCCCATGACCTCGTGTGGCAGGAGGCGGACCCTGCCGCCGCCGCAGGGGCCGTTCTGTTCCGCCAGCGCAATGCTCCTGCGGCCGATGCCCTGGTCGTCGCCGCGGCGGCCGCCGTCGCCGCTGCTGAACAGGCGGCGGCTGACGGCAACGTATGCAAGGCCGAGAGAGCCGAGGACAGCGAGGACGATGGGGGCAATACAGGCCACCATTGCAACCGTCGGGAACGGCTTTGCGGGCGGCGCGTCGAGCGACGGGAGCCGGGCCGGCGGCACCTCGGGCTGCGTGCACTCGCCTGCGTCGCAGTGCAGGTCCAGGCGCGGCTGGATGCCGGCCAGGGTGCACTCGCCGCTGGATTTGCAATCAATGCCCACTGATGAGTTCTTCATGTTGTTCAGGATGCTCTGCACGATTGGGATGCAGCTGCCCTTGGCGGGGCACCCGCACCGTGCCCTGGCGCACGAGAAGCTTGCGCTGCCCTCTGCAAAGGTGCAGGAGCTGCCGACGCACTCGAGGGGGTTTTGGGAGTCCTGGGAGAGGGTCGCGACGAGCTTGCAGGAGGCCTCGCCGCGGGAGGCGCCAGAAAACACCGCGCCGGGCTGCGGGTGCGGTTTTTGGGGCGGGGCATCGAGCTCAGGACCGGCGGGTCGACGCGACGGCCTTGTGTAGCGAGGCGGCAGCGAAATGCTGCGGCGATCGCAGGCACCACACTCTCCACGCACGAAAGCTCCTGGCAGGCGGGTCAGACAGTGTCTTGGCACAAGGCTGAGCGGCGACCCCGTCTGCATTGCAGCTTGACTGCCAACCCCCACCTGTAGCCCAAGGGGCCCGTCGCCGAATGGCAGCTTAGTGCCGCGGACGTTGCAGACGCCTGTGATATTCTTGACTAGAGCCCCAAAGCCGCCCTTGACACTGCACGAGTATCCCTTGTAGGCGGTGCGGCTCGTGTACTCCATCGCCGTGTCGCAGCTGCTCAGCAGCTGCCCGGTGAAGACGGGGCACACCGCGGGGGCAGTGCACTGCGAGCAGGAGTGTCCGTGCCGGATGAGTGCGATTAGCGTGAAGGAATTTGGCTCAGGCTGACTGTAGTCCTGCCTGCTGGTGGAGCGTATGCAAACTGCTGTTTTGATTCAAGCTGGCAGCACTGCTCGTCAACGCTGCAGCAGCCCCCGCATCCCGCCCCCCCTTGAACATGCTGCCACATGATCGCACGGTCTGCCACAAGCGCAGCTCACCCTGACGCAGTTGTTGCCAGCCCAACCCTCCTCGCACGTGCAGCTGCTGCCGCCACCGGCACTGCAGCGAGGCCCGGGGGCCCCAGTAAGGCTGCTGGGTTCGCTGGCCCCTGCCTGAGCCGTTTGGGCCGTGGCAGAGGGGACGGCGGCAGCTGCGGCCACACCGCTCTGCGCCTGTGCCTTCTGACTGGCAGCCGCCGCCTGGGGAGCGCTTGCCGCTGCGCCCTTCCCATCACAATTGTCACCGCTGCAGTTAGCAGCAGGTGTGGCAGCAGGATTGGAACCTGCAATCACTGCCGCCGCAGGTGCCGCTTCCACCTTGTTTGATTGCGGCTTGGCCACAGGAGCTGCAGTAGAAAAAGTGCGGCAAGGGCGCACGCATAAGGTGATGACGTTGTACTTCGTTGCCGTGCCACCCGTCACCCTGACTGCGGGCGCGGCAATCATCCCAGACTTGGCCGATCCTGGACCTGCCCGTGTGAGTGTCACGGCAACCCAACTGCGCGCGTCGTTGGTACCTCCAGCACCCCGCTCCAGTGGCAGCAGCTGCCCCAGTCACACGCCCACCTCCTGGGAATAGGGCCGCGTCCACCAGCCGCCCGGCAGCCACGTTCCCGACCGCCTGGAAGTTTCCAGAGATCTGGATGTCCGCCGACGCCTCGGGCGTCTCGATGTGCCCGTCCAGCTCCAGCTTGGAGCAGTCGATGGTGACGTCACCGATGGCTGAGGTCCGCACGAAGCAGTTTTTTCCCGGCAGCGGAGTGCCCTTTGATAGCTCCATAGGGGCGACCGCGACAATATCTGACTCTACCACGCCCTTCCCGGCGACGCAGCGCAGCTCAAATTGGAGGGCGCCGTCTTTGCCAATGGGGGCAGTCGAGAAAACATGGCCCTTTGGAAGTTGGGGCGTGTGTGCGTCCACGGCGGTTCGCGTTGAAAATGGCGGTGGATTGTCTGGCCTGCTGATGCTTGTGGCCGGGTCTGCACGCTTGCTGGCAGCAAGTGCGCAAGAGCGCAACGCATAGGCCGCGGGCAGTGGCGATGGCTTTGAGCTGCACAGAGACTGACATGCTGCACCTGCCCACCCACCTGCTGGTCCTGGATGGCAATGGTGCCGAGAACCAAGCCGTCCATCTCGGCCGTGCCCGCCAGGCGGTCGATGTGCACGCCGCTTTTGCTGCCAGTGGGCTCCGCCAGGAAGGCGTCAGCCAGCGCCGCCGCCAGCTCACTGGGGACCGGGCATTTGTCTGCAATGCAACATGTTCGGCAACACAAATCCAGCCGTTGGTAATGAGGCGCAATCAAGGGCGCCGTGGGGGGCAATCTGCGGGGCCGTGCAGCTGGCCAAGAGGCGGGGCCGTGCATCGCCCCTCGAGCTGCACCCTGAACGCATCCCCGTGCAGCGCGGCCGCCATCCCACCCACCTGTGGGGAACACGATGGCAATGTCGCCGTACAGGGGCACGTCTGTTGTCGTCTGGAGCTTCGCCGGCACCGGCACGATCACGTCGCCTTTGAGGCTGACCACACCGCCAGCCTGCACCTTGGTGTCCAAGACACAGAACTTGTCCACCGCCCTGACTTGGGTCACAAAAACTAATAATACAGCAATATTCGACAGTAGCCGCACTCCATCTCGGCCGCATCGAGCCATCTTGGCTGATCGGCCGCTGCGTGTGCAGTAGCAGCACGCGTGTTTGCGGCTCGACCACCTCACAGAGCCTCAAAGATGCAGTGCAGATACTATTTTGATGATCAGTGCACTGGTTCAACCTGTTGGTCCCGCTGGGTGGCGCAGCAGTATGGCCTTCTTTGAACACGCAAACCGTTCTTGCCTCCGCGGTTGCCTGCGGTTGTATGTACCCCTAAAAAGTGTAAACATAAACGTAGACGAATGATACTTTCACACGTACATGGTACTTGGTAAACTACACTGTGATCGCTTTTCAGCAACTTGGGCGGTTCATCGCCTGCCGCGCGCCGCAGTCTGAAGAACTCAGCACGGCGCCCCCGAGCAGAAAGCCCCATGCCAATAGGTTTCAAATGCATTCAAATTTTTTAACAGGCCTTGGCTGCTCAAGTGAGGACTTGGGGTTGCACTTGCTTGCCTCATGGTCGCAGCTTGCAACAAATGTACTAGCGACAAATGTACTGCGAGCTGGGCTGTCCTGAGAATGATGTGCATGCATTGCCGCAAAGAAATAGCCACTTCCTGATCCTGGCGCACGTCATTTGTTACACTCAAGGTTTGTTAGTTATCCTAAAATCCAAGCACAATCGCTGGACTCTGGTACACCCCAAATCAAACTGACCTGAAATGTCCGCATCATTGGGCGGGCGCGAGCGCCATGCCGTTCGACAACGTCGCTGAAAGCTCTGCCTGAAGAGATTCTATAAATCGGTATCCTCTGCTCATTGGTTTGCAAAGTCTTAGTTGGCCGGGGCCATCGTCCACCTTGCCTGTGCTTCGCAGCTGCTTCGCAGCACATGAACGAGCCTAGGATGTCTACAGTGTGTGCTTGGCATAACTGGCTACGGTATTAATCCATTTCTATTCACACACACTGATTGGCGTGTTGTCATTGTCGAGCGTGCTGCAGCGGCGTCGGTGCGCTGTGTGGGATGATCGTCCTCGGGCATGCGGTTGAGGGTTGTTGTCAGTTGTTGGCTCCCCGAGACCAGCCCGTCACCAAGCCCAAATCGACGCTTGAGTATACGCAAACAATCCCTGAATGCGGCAGGTGAACGCAAGTTCGCGAACTAACCTACGGTGGTCTGGTTCCACGCGCGACCAGGGTCGGAGAAAGCCAGCGGACGTCGTAAAGGGGGCAATACATGCCATCACAATCAACAAAGTCGCCTCGCTCAGCGGCGCTGCTGCCAAGGCTTCAGAATGGCGCGCCAGGCGCGAGCCGGCGCACCAGTTGCGCTAGTGCTGCTCGCATGCCTTGGCCAGCTCTGCTACGCAGCCCCGGCCTTTGAGCCGGCCAAGTGGAACCAGCACGATAACTACTCGGCCGTCAGCGTGCCATACAAGCTGCTGTTCCCGCCTCCTTCAGAGCCCCAGGGCGACCCGGGCGGCGAGGATGCTGGCCCCTTGTTCCCCATCCAGCCCAGGGCGGGGCAGTCGGAGCTTGAGGTGAGGGTCTCACAGGCTTTGCAGGGCCCGCACACCACCTCTAGGGTGCGTATGCTTGCTTGTTTGGGGTGGTTGGCTTAGAGTTATCTCGCAGTCAGACCTGGTGTTGCATCAATAAGAGGGGCTGGCAACGGCGAGCGCCCCATGCCGCCAACCCGCTCGCCCAAAACGGCAGTGTGCGCTGCGCCGAAACCCGCCCGCAGCGCACATGCGCGGGCCCAGACAGGGCGTTCGCCAATGACGGGGAGGAGGCAAAGTCGGGCGCTTGCTGGTATGGTCTATCCGGCCCCGGCATGTACACTTTTTGGCAGCGCCTCCCTGGGGACCTCATGCGGCGGTGGGTGATGATGCTGCAACTAACCAGGCAGCTGTCTGCAACGTTGCTGAGGCAGCTCAAGGGCGGCCTCGGGGCTGGCCGCGCACACACGTGTGATGCATGGGCACCAGATGAAGTGGCTGGAAACACAGCCAGGATGCCCTGTTTCCTGCACTGCCGTGTCCTGCTCTGCTCACACGCGCGCGCGCCTCACCCTTCCCGCCACCCGAACCCACCCGACCCCGCCTGTCCCGCCATCCTCTCGCCGCCCCCCGCGCAAAGCAACAACTGCTACTGCTATGCCGTCGACCGCGCCGGGACCGACGGATGGTGCCTCCCAGGCCTGGGCGCCGGCCTCGGGGACCTCACAGGGCCCATCACCTGCGCTGACCTGTCCGCCAGGGTGGCGGCCGACGGCGCCGTGGCCGTCCCAAAAGCGGAAGCCCTGTCCAGCGGCCTGCCCGCGGACGCGGACTCCCATTACGTGGCGCTGCGGCTGCGCGCGGGGGCGTGGTGCGGCAGCGCGGCCGGCAGGAGGCAGAGCGGCTGCGGGCCGGACTTCCACCTGCTCAGGCAGGATGCCAGCGGCCTGTGGAGCCACAAGATTGTGGGTGTGAGGCGGCTGGATAGCGGGTTCGAGTCGTTTAGGGTGCCTGCAGCTGCGTGGCATGCTTGCTTGGCCTTTCGCAGCAGCTTGGCGCGTCCCAGAACCTCACGCTTGGAAGGCCATACATGCTGACGAATCGTTTCGCGACATACACCTCTCAATGCAGAGCATCCCACAATTGAGCTGGCTCGCTCCTCCACGCAAGGCAGCGAGCGCGCCATCCCTCCCGCTGTACCGCCCGTGCACCCCGCCCCGCGCGAAACAGGGCTCCCTGCCCGCCACCGACCGCGACGCGCTGGGCCGCGTGATCCCCGACCCCTCCCCCGGGGCCGCGCCGCTCCCCGGCGGCTTCGAGGAGCTCTGCGGCTTCTTCAGAGTGAAAAAGGGGACGATGCGCGTCGGCACCCAGTGGTCGGAGGACGGGGTGTTCAGGGCGCTCGAGCGCTGGCGCCGCAGGGGCCTGACGGTGCTGGCGGCCCCGCTTCCGTACGACGCGGCGACGGATGGGGTCGCGCCCCCGAATGATGAGGGCGGCGGGACGCCATAGGGAGGCTGCGGAGGGGGGTTTGTGGCTGCACCCGTGCTGAACCACTTGGAATGGGGCTTGGGGCGCCAGCGGACGGAAACCTGCTGGTTTTGCGGGGCTCAGGGGCGTTAGACAGATGCCTGGTGCTGTGGGCTGGAGCTCTGTCACTAGCACAACTGTGTATGCCCAAATTAAGCGAATTGTTGCAGAATTGTTTTTTGGGGACTTCCTTTGTAGCGCGCCTTGAATCCCGTTGTGTAAGCTGACACAGCGCACTCCATTTTTGAGCTCAACAGCAACGGGTTGCTCAACAGCTCTTGATGGATGACAAGAGAATGAACTATCTTGTGCGCAAAGCCTGATTAAGGCGAGGGTTCGCCAGTCTCTGATGAGCTGGTTGTGCGCACCAGCGCCGACGGAGACTGCTGCGCGCATGAAAACAGGCACATGATGGGGATGGGTTGAAAGGATGGATGAGAGCATATCATCCCGCACCGTGCCTCCCATTTGTAAACAATGCTTTTTCTTGGTGCGCTCACACTTTATATGAATGGCATGTGCGATACCCCGCGCAGTGGAGTGATGAGCATGGCCAGTGACTGCAGGGTGGTGACGCAAGCGGAGGGCGGTGTGAGGTGCCTAGGAACGAGTGGGGCCGATTTTGTGAATCCATGTAATTCCAGAACTACCACACCGCAAGCACGCGTCGTCTTGATCGCGCAGGACCGATCTGCTTGATCCGCACCACTGCGATTCTCCCACCTCAACCATTGGTCGCGCCAATCATGCTGCAGCTTCGACTTCGAACGACGGTCCGACACGGCGCTTGCGCCTCGAGGCCGGCTGCGGCGTGCGCACGGACGCGCTTCGCACCCGCCCTACGAGTGAGCGGCTCACACACCACACGCGTGCTGCAGTGGAGACCAAACTGCTCCAGACACACCTCCAGAGCGCTATCCCGTGCGCCTCCTCCTTATTATTCACTTTCTCGTGATGCGCAGGCTGCGGCGGGGACCACAGGCGGTGCGCCGCCCCAGTCAACGGACGAGCTCTTGGCCGAAGTTGGGAAGCTGGCGTCCCTGGCGCACGACCCGGCCACCGACCAGGCGGCCCTCGACGCGCAGGCGGAGCGCGTCGCGCAGCTGTCGGCAGCCGCGGGCACCAACAAGGTGGTGGCAGAGCTCAATGACGGTAGCTTCAAAGGGTACACGCTCTCGGTGAGGCGCCGCGGCGCGCTGCAAAAGCACGACGCTGGTTTCGGCGGTGGCGTATGTCCGCCCGTCTGCGGGTGCGGCGTGGGGCGGCAACCTCGGCAGCAACTCTTGCTCCCCCACAACTTGTGCATCCGTGCGTTGTTCCTGGGGTTGGTGCGACCTGCAGGTAGTGTGGGGCCGATCCCCGCCCAACCCGCCCGCACGAACCCCATGATTTCGCTCGTGGCGACGCCGCGTGCCCGCATGCAGGGCCGCACTGCTGAGCGCTTCAGAAAGGTCATCGATCTGGGCACGATGAGCTTCAAGCTGTACCAGCCGGCTGACCTCAAGGTGCGGCCGCGCACACGTCGTGCATGCTGTGCATCAGGGGCCCGGGAAGTGCTGTGAGCCAAGGGCGCCCCGCGGCAGCGCGCGGCAGCGCTGATAACTGTGTTGCGACCGCGGCTGCAGGCCGGTGCATTGAGCGTGCTGGTGTACTGGTACCTGAGCCAGCCAGCGCCCTCCCATAGCTGGCCTGCCAGTCGCTCCGCTGCCCCTCACCCTGGCCCCCCAGCTGCCCTTCCAACCCTCCACATGAAACCGCACCCAACGACTGCCAGGTCAAAATGACGTCCACCGACAGCAGCGGCGTGTACAAGGGCGCGGATGGCAGCACCAGCCAGGCCTACGTCGTCACCGCCGGCTTCAACGTCGTCGAATGGGACGGCCAGGAGGGCAGCGAGGCGGTGCCGACCGGCGTGAGCGGCGTGAGCAAGGCGATCTCGGAGTACCGGCTCGCGGACGACAACCAAGCCCGCATGTTCATCACCTTCAAGAGTGAGCGCGGGCGGCCGGGCTGAACCTGCCCGGACCCGACCAGCCATGTCTGTTGGGCGGCCGTGGGGTGCAGTTGGCCGTGCGTGCGGACGTCAGCAGGGCGTGTGTCACCCTGCCGCCGCCTCCGCCGCCTCGCCCGCCCGCACCCCTCTCCAGGGCTGCGGCTATCTCCCGCCTCGGACGACCCTGAGCACCTCGCCCGCTGGCTCGACCTGCTGCTGCCCCACAACCCCACCATGGTGCGCTGCGGGCAGGCTTGCGGCGCTGTCATGCGAGCGCCAGCGCTTGGTATTGCGGCCTGGTGTTGGCCAGTCTCCACCAAAAGTTACTGGCCTCAACCATCGCATCTCAAACGGTGTGTTATCCCATGCAGGACCCCAAAACGGGCGTGCTGGAGGTCGACCTGCCCAGCAAGTCACCAGAGGGGTACTTGGATGCTCTCGTGATGACGGAAAAGTACCAGCTGCTGCAGGGCAACTACGGCAGCCGCACGCTGCTGGAGCGCATATGAGGGCGGCAGCTGATTGGGGCTGACGGGTAGGAGCTGGCTGCTGGGCGCTCCAGGCGCCTGGCGACTGGTGCCGGGGGGTGTCAGGGTATTGCTTGAAGCGGTCGCCGGAAGTAGTAGAGCATCTGCTGCCAGAAGATCTGGCTTGCTTCTGTCACTTGCTTGATTTCAGGCCGCTGGTGTCATCAGGGGCTGGGGTGGTGTTGGATCTGTGGACTTGTGCTTGCTCTGGTCAACGGTGCATTGCGGAGTGCCTGAAGTTGATTTGTCCCGCTTTGATGCCGGGCAAACGTACTATGGTAGACCTGTGTAACATCACCTTGTACCATGGTTGTTCGCGAGCTGCGGCAGCAATTCCCCCCCCTAGGTCCAGCGCCCCA